GCTTCCTACGGCACTAGGCAACAACTAGAAACATTGGACAGCGGTCCTACAACTTCCTACGACACTGGGCAGCAGCTAGAAGCATTGGACAACACGTATACAACACCTCACAACACTCCTATAGTGTTTATATCACTCCACATCATTAATTCCAGCACCTCACAACACTTCTACAACACTTATAGCACTCCAAATCATTAATTCCAGCATCTCACAACACTCCTACAACACTTATAGCACTCCAAGTCATTAATTCTAGCACCTCACAACACTCCTACAACACTCTATAGTGATTGACAGCCTCAAACAACACATATACGACCTTTAAGCTTCCTATAACACTCTATAGTGATTGGCAGCCTCAAACAACACATATACAGTGATTAAGTTGTTCAAGATCGACCAATAAAAGCATCTTGAAGCAGTGATCAAGTTGCCAAATGAATAAAATTGTGCATAAGACTAATACTTGCATCTTTTTAACCAAGACATAAATTCGGTTAACACGATTCAATGCAAAAATAACTATTCGGAGATCTCCAAAAATCAGTTCCTATGATTGGGAGAGCTACTAACATAACAAATGTAAGCAGGTAAATAAATTATGAAGTGCTTATAGCATAAATTAAGCTCAGCCGTCATGAAATCAAATCTTATAGATAAAGAATGCATGTGAAAGGTTTAAACCAAATTGAATCTACATAAATAGAACTAATTCAATTCCTCAGAAAGTTTCCTTCCAGCTTTCAACAGATTCAATAGTTTCAATTAAAGATCTATAAAAAAAATTTTAAACGAGGAGATTTACCTGAACCGTCGAATCTCAAAAATTTCAGGTGGGAGGAGTCCTGTCGAGCGAGGAGTGCTGGAGAAAACTGGCTTCGGCACAAGGAGTTTTGTCGAAGAGGGAGTTTCTCGAGCGAGGGAGGCGAGCAGGAGCCTTGATCGAGAGACTGAGGCGTGCGAAATTGAGCAGGGAGCTGGAAACTGGTATCGAATGGAGCTTCTTCTACATTCGAAAGGGAAAGGCAAGTAGGTGGGGTTCGGTGCAAAGGAGGAATGAATCGAGTGGATCTCTCGAGAGCGGGCCAATGAGCGAAGCGATGATCGAATCGAGCAGAGCTGAATGTGGTCTCTGTGCCGAGAAGAGCGAGTATGCGAGATCGAGCAGAGGAAGAGAAGAGCAGGCGAAGGCGTTGAGCGGGAGACGAGATCGAGCAGATGCTCTGCGGCTTCGGTGCGGGAGACGGGATCGAGCTCTGCGACTTCGGTGCAGGAGACGGGAGAGAGCAAGCGGGGGTCTTTGGCGCAAGGAGGAGGTGAGCGGGCGAGCAGGGGTCTTCGGCGCAGGGAGGAGGTGAGCGGGCGAACTTCCTGCTTGCAACGGAAGCGCGACAGGAACGGGAAAGCTTAGCAGAAGCGAACGGGAGAGAAGAGCTCGGGAGAGGCAAAGGAGGAAGACGAGCGGGACAGGAGGTCTTCAGTCGAATGAGAGCAGGAAGGCGAGGGTTTTCTGTCGAGCGAAATCGAACAGAAGTGGGAGGAGCAGGCGTTCGGGGAAGGCAGAAAAGGAAGATCAGGAGAGGGCATCGAGCGGGAGAAAGAAATAGGCAGCGAGAGAGTTAGCCGTTACTCGAATCAATTGGGCGGGGAATTAAATAGTTTCCTAATGCAGGGGAGGATTAAATGGAAGGTATTAACACCTGAATTGATTTTAATTAAGACAAAAATTAAATAATTCGTTTGAATTTAAAAGTTGAATTTCAAATTCAGGTGAGCTGGTGCCTAGCCCGTGTTGAGCCTAAGTCCAACCTGAATTGAACCCGAGTCGAACCTGGGCTAAGCCTGGGCCCGCGCACCGCTAAAAAAAGTTCATCGATATTCGTGCTAGTCGCTCGCGCGTGAAACTATAGAGATGTGGGTGTCCTTCCTAGCTAAAGTCGACGTTCCAGACGCGTCAACGCGGTCCGTTTCGTCATCCGTGGTCGTCCGGACGAGTTTGCCGACGGGCGAGTCAAATTAAGCCAAAATTGTGCGGGATGCGATGCGTGCGCAAAAATGCGGCATTATCGAGTGTTAGAGTCGCCAAGGGGTTTCCTAGGGGTTGCTCCTATTAATGTAGGAACTCGACTCGAGTTTCATGTGTCGATCCTAGAATGCCGAAGATTTGGGACCACCCATTTCAAACTCGAAGGAGTGACGAGATGGCTCAAATTTTCTAAATGGTGTGGGTTCCGTACTAGTTATCTAGGAGGGTCAAACAAGAGAAGCCTAAAGCTAGACCCTAGGCTCTAAGGAGAGAAGTGACGACCTCATCCGAAAATGAGGTCAACAATTTTGTGTTATAAAACAACTATGGCATCTTTAATACGAAAAACCATTGTATTTGAATGACATAGAAATTCATGAGTTATTTTTGAACAACCTATCACCCATTAACTGATGAAAAATTTAAGGTAGTTAATTCGAGTTTGGTTGATCTAGTATGCTCTTTGGTTAAAATATATGCATCAAATTAAAATTTGTTACTCCTTATAAATTATTTTTCATAGTTCATCTATCAATAGGTCTATATGTATGAATTCATTCGAAATTTTTATTGTAGAGATTGATTGCTAATTACAATAATTTCAAGTCTTCTCTTTTGTGAATGGTAGATATGGGGAACTAAACCCAAGTGATGTGATGGTGATCACGTGCTTAAGTTTTGAAATTAATTTCCTATAAGAACATTTAGGAAACTAGTTGCTAGAAAGGTGGAGATATAATATCTTTACTAAATTGGGATTATGCTTATAAAATAGGAACTTTAGTAATTTTTTGTATTAATCCATCTTTTAATGCATGTAATTCGACATTATCTCTAGAATTTTGTATTAGTGCCTTGATCTTTTTCATTTTTTCCTTTCAAGTTGTATCCAACACTTTACCAAGCAACTTATATACTTCTTCCTCTATAAGATATTTTAAATGATAAAATTGTGTCAATTTTGTGCATTGGTGCGATAGATCAAGATGTACTGAATCGCTGATTACTTGTAAAAAATACAGCAAATATGCTTAGGTTTGCTAACAAATTTCTTATGCTCAATTGATTGCAGATGAATTTTATCATGCAAGATACATTTGATGTAGTGTTATCAGAGTATAAAACGCAATGCGATGCATTAGGTTTTATTTTTTCTTGAAAGTGCAAAGCACCACTTTTATTAATTAAAGCACTAATAAATTATATACAACTATCAATGTATAAATATCTTCATTAACAATTTTAAAATAAAAAATATTATTTAAAAGTTAATGTAAAATAGAAAAGGCTGTAGTGCAATACCTAACTTGATGGGAAATATTGTGGGTGAACCTGCAAGTTAATATTTTGAATAATCTTTAATAGTTTGCTATGGTAACTAAAAACTTAAAAAATGTAAAAAAAATCTTATAATTCAAAACAAAACCTAAAATTTAAAGCATACATAAACAAAGGAAGTCTCAGTTTTCATAAAACAAGCTAAATTAATGTAGTAGCATTTTATTGCCTCTCTTTAAGCTGTGAACTGGATTGATCACTTTGCTTCAACGCTTTAAAGCACACTTCAGTGAAGCGGTGTGAGGGCCACACATTTCGCTTTGCTTTGAATGTGAAACGTGCTTTTAAAAACATTGATTTGATATAAATTTGAAGTTTTCAAATCCTTGGAAACACATTATTTGAATGGAGGTGCAAGCATTTTATTTTTAGTTTTGAGTTTATTTATTTCACATTGTCTTTATGTTTGCTTTGTTGTAAACATGCTTAGAATGATAATCCTTATTGTTAATTTATTATTCTCCTTAAAAATTGTGTTTTTTTTTGGTTTGGTTCCATTTAGTCTCTAGCCATTGTTTCTTGTTGCTTCCATATAGCTAGTTTTCTAGTTTAGCTATTTTCTAATTCTCTTTTTTAGCATGTAAGCCCTCTCTTTTTATCCAAGTGTGTTCCCTATTCTCTTCAATTAAAACCTGTTGTCTCCCTTTTTTGGGATATTATGTTCTCTTCAATATGAAATTTTATATGCAACTGTTCCAGTCTTTCTGTTTTTTTATTTTTATTTTATTTATTATTATTTATTTATTTTTTTATTGAGGGTTAATGATTTGAACTTGACTCTACAGTGTACAGTTTATTGTAGCTGAATATTTAAAGTATGCTAAAATGGCATTGTTTCCCTATTCGACTTCTTGGTATTGGGCACTGCTCTTACGACAACTATAATTTATATTCTTTGTATGGAAACTTTTTTTTGGTCTAATTTTGGTATTTGTTGAAGCTACTTATTTTGGGAATTTTTTTCCATTATAAATCAGGCTCTTGCGGTATAAAAACTTGTATTATTTATTAACAATATTTATTCTCCTTTTAGCTTAAGCCCTTCTCATCTAGGAAGTAATAATGTTTTTTTTTTAATGATGAACAATTAGTGAGTTTGAGGCTTGGCAGCAAAGTGGATTGGATTAAAAAATATGTTCTTTTTTATGTACCTATTGTCTTTTTGGATTTAGTTTGTGTGAATAGGATTTGGTCAAATCATCTACAATGTGATTTTCTTCTTGCAATGCGAATGCTATCCATTGTATTGTTTGTTTGAACTCAAATTAGTTGAAAGGTTTTTCTTTTGAGGATCTTTATGTATCATTTGTGGCAAATTTTATATATTGATTGATTTTCATCTAATGAGATGATTTTTTTGCGGAATTAAAATAACCAGATTGCAAGTTATATCTTTGATGAGCTTGTTCTATTCACTAAACACAAATTTGCATAGAGAAGTACTCGATCCCAAGATGTCCTACCTCAACTACTTTGCCTTTGCTAATTAATTGACCCAAGATACACTGGCAGTAGCTGATCAATTTTGTACAATTTTGCAATTCATGGTTTCATAAAATGCTAGGATAATCAGATTTGCAAGTTGAAGAAACTTCCAGTTCTGTGCTAAAGTGATTTTGATTTCTTTCTGCAGAGAATTTACATTTTTATTCTGAAGAACATATCATTTATGGGGATTATGCTTTTGAGCAGTGGGATCCAAAATTGGTAGAATATATCTTGAGCTATTTTTCCCCGAAAAACATGAGGATCAACGTGTTATCAAAGTTTTTCAACAAGGAATTACAGGGTAATTCTGCTGCTTTCTTTTATCTTTAATTTTCGCTGGAAGCTGAGTAAGTTTTTGATTTTATGCTATGTTTGACGATTCTGTCTCTTGCCCCTTACAAAAGGTTGTGATCTTTCTTGATGCGCATAACTGATCAATAAATTGTTTTCCATTTATAGAGTAAATTGCTTTCCTTTATTGAAGTGATGGTAGTCTTTGAGTTTCTGCAGAATAACCTAAGTCAATTTTTTTTTTGGTATATAGCTTGTTAGGGACGTTGGGATGGGGAAGTTTTTGGGATCATGAGTTGCTTCTTTGAGTGTCTAGAATTAATGGAAACATGGTGGAGAGAGGAATGAAGGAGGGATCATGATATAGATGAGAGCCAAACTATTATTTTTATGCATATAGATGGAAGTTAGGAATAGGGCTATCTTGGAGCTGAGTTGGGGCATGCTGTGAACTAGAATTGGCTCGAACATTTTTTAAGTTCCTGTTCAGCTATAGATCTAGCTGATTTTTCACATATTTGTTCATACTTAGCTTTCATAAATTTTTTGGTAATCATACTTGACTTTTACTTAATTTTTTCTTTAATTGAATGAGCAATTCAAAAAGTTAATAAACAGGCTAAGCATTCGAATTAGTACCTGGATTTTTATATAAATTTATTATGAAGCAATTTTGCAAATCATAACAAATAAGCAATTGAATATATTTTGAATAAGTATCAAGAAACTATATCATTGAAATTAAGAATAAAAATTTGCATTAAATTCATATGCATATTTATATTAAATTATGATATATTATTATTAAATATGTAATTAAATAAGTTTTTATTAATCAAATTTATTTTGAATAAATTTTCAAATATAATATGAACTATCATCAAACTGATAAATAGTATTTTTCATGTCACTTGTTGATCAATGAATGAGTTTGTTTGCAAATGCAAATAAATGATTTGAATTATGTTTACGTTTGGTTCATTTAACCATTTATGTATTTAAAAATGTTTAAATTTGGTTATTTATAAATTTTAACAAACTTGATCGAGTTTTAATTGAGCCAAGTTCAAGTTTTCATTGAGTGCATTATTTAATAAGAGTATATTTAAGTTTTATTATTATGAATTTCTTTGAAAACTTTGATAATTGAATTTTAATTTAAATTTAAAATTTTAAATATTGAGGGAAATAAGTTATAATCATGAGATGTTTAATTAATTTTATTATCATCTAGTTAATTAAATAATTATTTCTTTTTGCTTGGGCCGGCCAATATATCCCAAAGCCTTCTTTTGCAACATAGCCCAACGCTTTCTCCCATTTTTGCTCTCTTCTTTTAAGTAACATTAGGGCTAGTATAAGGATATATGTATTTGTTATTTTGACTGAATGATGGTTGACTGATTGAGAAAATAGTTTTTAATTTTTATTCAAGATTTGGAGGCTTGATGGCAAGCCCAAGGAGGTGCAAATTTGATGATTCCATCATACTATTGCTTTGATGAGCAAGGTTTTAATTTTCCTTGCACTTTTATTTTTTTTTGCTGTGAGAGCCTATTTTTGGCTTTGGGAAATTTCTTCTTGCATTCCTCTACATTTTCAAAACACCTGCCTAATTTTAATCCACTGAACTCCAACCAAATGTGGTTAGCCTAGGATGCGGTTGAGTCTAATTTAATTTTGTTACATTGGTTTTTTTGGTCAATCTAAACACCTTGGAAGTTGTTGAAGTCTCCAGAATGAACCTAGACATATTTGCCTATCATTAATATTAGTTTTCGCAATTTTTCTAAAGCCATAAACGACACTACCAAAGCCAAACATCTATTCAAAGTATTTTTCCAGATTAATTTTCTTAATTATCTAGTTTTCAAATAAAATTCAAGATAAATTTTAGAACTCCTCATATATTCCTCAAGCAAATAAATGTCGAACCTAAAGAAAAATGCACTTAACGCTTAGGTAACAAAGCTAATGACATATAATGAAAAAAAAACTCAAATATGTGCTATTATTTCTAAATTATAGCATTTTAAAAACAATGTTGATATGATTTTGAGTAGTAGTTATAAACCTACTTTGAATGGTCTTCATCTAACTCATGTTCAAGCCCAGTTGTCAAACTTCAGCTCATTAATCTTGGTGATCAAGTTCTGGTTGCTTAGCAAGCTCAACAGATGTGGGCTTTTTTTGCTTAGAATCAGGCTCAAATTGATGCAAAGATTCAGGTTAAGGCAAAATCTAGCTCAGGTTTAGTGTTTGACTTAGGTCCAGAATTGGCTTCAAGTTGAAGTTCTGGCTCAGGTATTGGTCACCAATCAGTATCTATCAATGATGGATGGAAACTGGATGCCTAGAGTGCTGATAGTGTTTTAAAGGGCTTGGTTGCCTTGAGAAGCTGAAGGAGGAGGGAATTGTCTTGGATTGTGTGTTTGAACTGTGAACATACTATTTAAAAAACTATAAAAGTGTTGTTCAATAGTAAATGTCATAAATATGCACTTTTGGATGAAATATGGATTGAGTTTTGTTTGAGTGGTATTTGTGCTGATTGATTCAGTTTTCGCGTTGATTTTCAAGCGTTATATGATTTTATTAGAATATATTTAGGATAGTTTCGTTATTCTGTTAGCCATCAAAGACATTGTTTAGGGGATGAGATGATTGTTGAGTAAAACCTGAATTTAAATTTTGAACCCGAGTTTAAATTTGATTTTAAAATTTGTAGTTTTAATTCAAATTTAGAATCAAAGTTTTTATTTGAATTTAAGTTTAAACTTTGAATGGAGGTTTGCTAAATAGTTGCATAGAAAGAGGGGCTATATAGATTCTTTTTTGAGTATTATTTATGAATTTATATTTAAGGAGGATATTGGGGAATTTTTTGAAGCAGTTTTAAATTTATAGGATGGTTGCTGGAAGAGAGATAAGGTGTAGTGTTTATGAAAAATACTTAAACTTCTTCACTTGAGCATTATTATTCACTGTTTATTGCGACACAAGTCACGGAATAGTAATAGTTGTATGCGTTGCTGGTTGACTGCAGCTGTGAAAGTGGAGTACATAACTTCTCTTCTCTCTTGGACCACATTACTACATTTGCTGCTAGCTTTATGACCTTTATGTGGATGTCTTTGAACTCAATGCGGAAGCATTGGGACATTGACCTGCCCTGAGGCTGTTTGTAATCCCTTTCAGTGTCATTAGTTTAAGGTTTCTGTCATTATCTGGTAGCAATGTGCATAGGTATCCATATGGTTGTTGGGGAACCATACTCAGAACAAGTTTACCAAGTGGGCAGAGCAGTTCAACCTGACTCAGAATTAAAGCTTCACCTGTGGGCTGGTGAGGTGAGAACAATGATTATATAGATCAATACTGATGCAATTGGCCACACTAAAGGGATTGAATGGTACGCGGGCTGGAAGGAGACAGAGAAACTAGCATGGGTAGTATGTAAGGCACTTGGGCAGACAACTGGGAATTGGAGTGGAGGTTCTTAGACTGCCGATTTCAACACTCCCTTTCAATCAAATGAATAGTTGTTGTCTATTCCAAGTCTGCTTGACAGCTTTTGAAGATTTCCAATGATCACTCTTTGTTGAGAATGTGAACAAATTTTTTTCTATGATATCAGAGGTTAAATTAGATAATTATCTTACTTTTTTTTTTTTGTTAAAACAATGTTTGTCAACTTCAATATTCCCAGTACAGTGATATTACCAAAGTTTTTGTGCAATATTAATCTTTGACTTCTTATCATAATAGAGCTTCATGGTCCCTTGTCATTTAAATCATCTTCCAGAATAATTTCAAGTCATAACAATTCACAGATTTCAAGTATCATAGACCTAAATTTGGCTTCTATGTTGGTTCTTATGACCAATTTTTATTTTTAACTTATCGAAGTCATGAAATTGTCTCTTAAGAATATGCAATATTTTAAAAGTTAATCTCTTATCAACCATGCTTCATACACAATTAGCATATGTATAGGTTTCAATGCCATATCCTCCCTTTTAAAAAAAAAAAAATTTTTACCTGCAGTTCATATTTAGATATTATAAAGTTTAATGAATTGTCCCGAGATGTGTTTTCTTTAGATTATATATGAATTGATATATCACACCAACAACATACGCAACTTTTAGTCCAATTTGTGATATGTAATTCCTAATTTTTGATAAGGTAAAGTGCAAAATATTCTAATAAATTATACTTTTAAATTTCAACTCCTATGGAAAATATCAATAATTATTCTATTGTAATCTACATTTCAAAATTTTTATTTTGATTTATAGAAATATATGCAAATTCTCAAAGATGTGAAAGTTTTGAAATTAGTTTCTATTTAAATAAAATTTTGCCGAAGTCTTACTTCAATTTTACTCTTCACGCTATTGTAGTAGCTGAAATTGAATCATATATATATATATATATGTATGTATGTATGTATTAAAATGATAACACTTAGCTTCACCTTTCCTTTTTCCTTAATTTTTTTCCTCTGAGCAGAAGGCTGAAATAGAGGCTGAAAATAGAAGCTGATCGCAGGGAAAAATGAGGATATAAGTGGAGGAGGAGGAGCATAGTAGAAAAAGATGACGAAGAAAAAGAGGAGAGGGGAATGAGGAAGGGAAGAAGGGAATAGTTGGAAGAAAGTAATAAAGCTAATTTCTTTTTTAATTTAAAATCAGGATTTTAGTATTTATCTAATATATAGATTTCAATTATGAATGGTAGGTTTCAATGCTTGTATGAGGAGAAGTAATATTGAGATTGTTTACAAAAGGAAGAAGTTTTGAGGCATTAGATTCAATGGGACAAATCATCAATTGTGTAAGATATGCAAATTCTAATGTATGAACCTATTTTTTTTTTAGTGTATTGCATGTGCAATTATTGGTAATTAAAGTGATGGTGCAATGTAATAGAAATTCTTCATATTTAGAAAGTAAACAGCATACTATTTATGTGTAGATGATCCCACAAATTTTGATAATACTAGTT